AAATCCATAGTTAATGAAGTCAATATCAGCATTATTATTTGATGTCGATTTGGTTTCAGTGGATGTAATTTGTGGTGTGTGCATGCTGCAGTGATAGTCTTGAGTGTATTAAGTTATAATTAAATGCCATTTATATCCTGGTATGATAAATATTACTTTTTTATAGGAAACTTTTGGAATGTATTTTTATTTTCTCATAGACATGTGTGGAATGGTTATGTGATGCTGCAAAATATCGATGTTGACTTCTGGCGGAAATATATATTGTTGAAGGGGTGGGGGCTGACTAAACTGGTGGCTAAACTAGAATGGATATTTCCCGATGGACGTGGCAGATGGCAGTCTCTCAAAATGGTTAATATTTTTGGTAAAGAGGTATACTTTACATTAAGGTTTTTGAAATTTTCTTACAAATGACTTCAAATTTGCTGCTTGAATAGAGAAAAGTACTCTTATGAAAATGGCGCATTTTTGCAAAAAAAAACGCAATGCAATTGCAATTTTTTTTTTAAAAAAATTTGAGAGGTATTCTCACTAATTGTAACGCGATTTTCTCAAATTGCCTTATTATTCTTTCTTTTTTTTATCGAGTAGAAGAAAGTTCGCTTAATAATACGTTGTACATTCAGGATTTACTGAATCCTTTTATTTTGAAAATTGAAGATTGTGAACTTTTTCGAACTTGTCCTACACCTATGTTGAAGCCATAGCTGTCTTCTTAATGCTGTCTTTCTTAATATTAGATCTTTAAATAGTTTCATCTATACTTTTACAAAATAGAAGTTTACGCATCATTTGAGTTATATCATTTGATATTTCAATTGATGGCTGACGTGTTAGTAGGATAGAAATTACAATATTATATAATTATATTATGTCAGTTACCAGTAATAAGAGAAATTTTGTGCTGTTGTTGCTCCAGTGACCGTTACGTACTACCACCGATGTAACGACTGATCAGACTTAATTTCTGTGAAGCCAACTGACCTGAATATCGTATAAAACCGGTCGCCTCTCTGAATCTTTAAAGAGAGCTTTTACCCTTGGTTGCTAGAGTTAAATTGCTGCTAGGTTTATAATAGAAACGTATTTCATTCTCCCTCGCTACATCATAACAGTTGAATTGGTATTTTTCTTCAGCGCCGCTGCAGTTGCTTCATTCCCGCCCATCGAGGGAGTTGAAAATGTCCAAGAGAAAAAGTTTTTCCCTGGAAGAAAAATTGCACGTATGCTGCCGGCTGGAGAGAGGGGAGTCCAATAGTACTCTAGCTCAAGAACTAAACGTAAGTCGTTCAACAATTTCTACAATTTGGAGAAATCGCCATTCACTCCGAGAGGTTGTTGAACGGGGTGATTCACTAAAGTTCAAGAAACATCGACGATCAACTCACGACGAAGTCGACCAGGAGCTAATAAAATGGTTTAAAATCCAGAGAAGCCTCAACATTCCTCTTTCGGGACCAATTTTGCACGAAAAGGCTAATGAATTTTTAAAATCAAGTGGTGATTATCTTCCCGGACAATCTTCAAGTGAACCGCAAGTTATTTCTCGAGCGTGGATACAGAGATTCTGCTCTCGGCATGAAATATTTTTCAAAAAACGTTATGGCGAAAGTGGCAGCGAACCTTTTTGAGTAAACCAACAAGTGGCTTTGAGTTCGCAAAAATTGCGGCGCTGACATCCTGAATGCGGGTGAAAGAGACCTTTTTTGCCTGATACCGTATCGGACACCATTTTAAGGGAAAGAAATATTGTGACACGAATCTGTCCGAAGTCACGAGATACTCTGGAGATCAAGGACTGAAAAGAAGAGTAGTTGTCTGAGTTGACAATTGTCGATCGATAAGTTGAAGATCATCAAAGCTGCATTTTTATCCTCGAATACAATCAATTTACCAAAGTGTTATTTAAATTCTGAAAAACTATGAAAGGGCCTGGAAACGAATCCGTTTTTAGAGGCAATCATGACGATTTTCTCTTAAAGCGTAATGATGGTTGTGTCACAGCAATTGCAAATTGCTTTAGACATTCAGGAATCTTCAGTATTGACGTTATTTATGAACTAATAGAACCAAACATATTTACACTGGCGTGCCTCTTTGGTTCCCAGCCACGATTTCAGAAGAAATCTAGAAGACTGCTGAAATTGATCGAGATTTTGAGATCGTGGAAAGGACGATAAAATCTCTCACGACGTGCCTCTGTCATTTTAGGTTTAGCTCTGACCGTGCAGAATTGTGATAAAGACATTCGCACGCAAATTTTGATGAAAAAAAAGACGAAAATGTGTTGACCAAACATTTTATATAAACAAATGTAGGAAACAAAAATAATTAATTTTTTTTTTCTCAGTAAAAAAGTTCGATTTTTTTTGTTTTGCGTCCATTGGTTATTGTACCTTTTCTCCAATTACGGCCTCGGGTGCGTAGTAGATTGCATGAGAGTTCAAGTTACATATTTTTAATGTTTCTGGAAGTTATTATTTCGTATGGTTGGAAACACGGGGGTGTACTAGGGTAATTTTTTTCTTAGTACATTTTCTTTGCCATGCATTTATCATGCACTGATTTTGGAAGTCCGATTGGGAAGTTTGTTTGCTTGTGTGTTTGGAAGCTGACCGCCTTTTTATTTGAGATCACCCCCATATTTTGATGACCGAAGGATGATATAGAAAGGTTATAAAACCCTAATGTGAGGATTTTCAAATATCTTCTCCCGAAGGTAGCATATCGTCTAAAAAATTGATATGCACTGAATGCCAATAACTGGCCTCTTTTCTCTTAAAGTTTTGTGTAAGTTTATTTAGACATTTGATTGAATCAGGAATCAGATTTCAACAGAACAACCATTAGGACAAAAAACTCATTCGAAAAAAACTTTTATTTGTATAACTTTCTTTACATTAAAATAGAAATTATGTTATAAGTACATTATTATTCTATTGTAATAATGTAACCGATGTAATATTTATTTTTCTTATAAGTGGCCAAAAGAGATCATTGTGTGCAGGATAGTGGATTATTAACGAGCACGAGTGTAAAATTACTGATTAACACGTAACTGACTTCCACCTATGTGTGTTGAAAGTTTTTTTTCTTATCCGATCGATCGCCTTTTTAACATTTTGACCTAATTATATTCTAGTAATACACCTAATGTTAATTGGTATTTCATTGACTTCTGTGGTACAGTAGTATTTTTTAGCGTGGCCGTGTGAATACGCTAGGAGAGAAGGGACGCGCTGCCGCTAAAGTAGGGAACCCATTATGAACGAACTATGGCACGGCACGGAATGGGACCCGCACTTTTGGTCGTATTTGAGATGAAGAGCTTAACCGAAGTAAACCAAATACAATTTTTTTGGTTTACATTTGACTATTCAACTGTTGTTAGCGCTGCGAAAGGTAACAGATGTGATAATAGCTAGTGGATTATTAGAATACTTTTGTTATAACTTCTTATTATGAAACTGATTAGTTTCAAAAAATTTGACTTCAGGTAAAGTGATCTATGTTACAATCACACCGGATAACATTTTCTATGCATCATTTAAGAGACCAAACACACACAAAAAAACAAACATAATTTAAGTATTTATTACAAAAATGCTTTACGTCAGCGACTCTTCGATTTTTTTGTTGGGATGTTTTTGAGAAGTCGCCTTTACTACGAGAAAAATGTAAATGAAACTTAATAATAAGTAGAATATTGCGTTATGCATACCAAAAATTCAGAATATTATGAAAAAGGTCTTTAAAGGGACTCTTGTTTTTCTTTTTAATGTTTTATTCAAAGAATTGTCTTTCTCTGCTTGGTATCATTTAATTCTTGGAAATAAATTAAAGCTTAGGCTTCCGCAGTCGGGTTGGTTGACCGGGAGGTGCCGCGTCCAAAGCACAGGTTCCAACGTTTCGCTCGCCATGCTGCGAATTTCCTCGGCATTTCGCCTTGAGGAAGGTCGCAGTATGAAGGCCGAATCGTTATCACCAGGACGCCATGTCTTCCGGACAGCCAAGTTGTTTAAAAATTGTTGATATCCATACAAAGTAATGGGCAATTCACGAAAGGAGGATTTTTGACCAGTGGATATGAAATGATGAAAATAAAATAGCATTAAATTGTAGATTTCGAAGCATTTTGCGTTAAAAAAAAACACTGTACATGCCCACGGCAGTCCTGGAAACTAAGCGGCGAAAAATAATTTTCAATTCTAGTTTTTCAAAATTATTTCCATAAATTTAAGGTATTAATTTTGTAGACACTTTTTAAAATTCGAATTTGGAATAGTACAAGTTTTTCAATAAAGTACTAAGAATTTGTATTTTTTTAAATACGAAACAAAGATGTAAAAAACTCGAAATATAAAATTGTATATGGAATGGAACCAATTTATTATTATAATAATTAGAACTGTTCAAACAGTGTTACTTTGTCGGTTTTTCACTATTTTACCTAGTCAGACTTTTTGTCAGTACAAGGCTCAAATAATGAGTGAAATTTGTATATTTTGTATTTGAACGTAAAATGGTATTAAAAACGTTGATATAATTGAATGTCTCATACGAGATGCTAGCACTTTAGCTGTATTCACAGCGTATCGTGCCGTTTGCTTACGTCTGCTTCCTGTTCGGGAATTCATCCACTGGCCGAGGGGCATGCCACGTGGGCTAACATTATCTGAAGGTCATTTCTGTCTAGATTTATTGGCAGTTTTAGGTATGGATGTAGTTTTACTAGCGGGGGAAGCGTTCCTGCCAAGCATGTCGTTCACAGTGGGTGCTTGTAGCTATTCCCTGAGAAACATTTCGGTCCGATCCTGTCGGAGTCACACCGTGCCATCCATTCATAAAGCGTTCCCAGTTTAAACCGAATTGTTAAATTAATAAAATGGAAATGGACTGGCTCGACAGCGCTCCGCCATTCTTGAGCGGCCACGTTCATATAATGCTACTGTAGTTAAGAATCACTTCGCCTTCTGAAGTTGAGCGATACTTCTTAGCAACAGGCGCAATGGAGCGAATCGAAGAAATTCCTCAAATTATTAGAATTGATGCCGCTAAAGCTGTGGAAGATTTACTCCCTAGTAAATCGAAAGAAAGCTATCTTAAGGAATATGAGACTTTTAAGGAGTGGAGAAAAGAGAAAAAAATTACAGATGTTTGCGAAGATGTCATGTTAGCGTATTTTAATGAGAAAGTAAGTACCAATACAATGTTTTAGTTATTACACGAATTTATTATTCTTTCTACGTGCGCACACGTATGTGTGTATTAAACGTTGTTGTATGATGAGAATTGTAATTTGTTCCCTGTAGTCAGAAAAATACAAATCGTCCTCCTTATGGGCGCAATACTCGATGCTGAAAGCAACAATGAATATCTATGAAAATGTAGACATGAGTAGATATGTGCGACTGATTGCCTTTCTGAAAGACAAGCACGTTGGATACGAAGCCAAAAAAAGCAAAGTTCTAACAAGACAGCAAATCGTGGAATTTTTAAATTCAGCCCCTGATGACATTTTCCTAATGGAGAAAGTAAGTTCTCGAAGAACGACTACCTTTAAATAAAGTAAATTTTGTTAATAACTTATGATTTCATTCTGATGTTTAGGTTGCTGTAGTTTTCGGAGTCTCGGGAGCTTGTAGATGCGACGAGCTGTATAGTATAAATGTTGATTATGTGCAGGATAAAGGTAATCTCCTGGTGGTGACAATTCCACGCACTAATACGAACAAACGGCGAGTTTTTACTATAATGGCAGATGATGAAATGAACGGCGTGGATTTGTATAGGAAGTATTTAGCTTTACGACCGAAGAAAGTTGAGCATCCTAGTTTATTTGTGTCCATGCGAAGGGGAAAATGTACGGTTCAGCGAGTGGGTATTAACAGCTTTTATAAGATTGCCAAAACCGTTGCAACGTATCTCAAGTTGGAGGAACCAGAAACATACACAGGGCATTCGCTGCGCCGCTCATCGGCTACTCTCCTAGCAGAAAGCGGAACGGAAATAATTCCCCACAAACGGCATGGTAGCTGGCGAACTGGTAACGCTGCTGAGGGATATGTTGAGGATTCGTTTGAACACAGATCAGCATTTGCTAGGCAATATATGGGTGGCGATGTTCAGGCAGGTACGTCGGCAAGTGTTGAGGGAAATGTGTACTACGGTTCGGGATATAACCCAGAAAACAGAATGTTAGAGTTTGGAAAACATTACTTTTAAGTGACAATGCAAAATAAAATCTCTTGAATGTGCAATAACATAAAAGCATTTAGATTAATAATTACTGTTACCCAGACATTTTTATTATCAAGGCATCAAACAGGCATTCAGTTTTCGGTTAATAGATCAACGAATTCGGTTTCGATAACGAGACATTTCGGATCTTTTTCGATTTTGAAACGGTGCGAGACGTGTTTTTCTAAATCGGTTATTTCGAAATTAGATTTTTTTAGAATTTCGGTGTATCGAAATTTGTGATGATTCTTATTCTCCTTCTAGGACAAAAATCTTGACAATTTATAGTAAAAGAAATCACACTTACGTATCCGCTCTCTGAAAATATCAGTTGTTTATACCATGGGTCACCCATCGAATACATGTTCCTCAAGATTGTTATATTTTTAAAACAGTTTCATTTCCTTCTTTTAACGAATGAAAAACTGTTTTGTAGCTCGGTATTGAAATTGATTTCAGTGGTTTTGGTTTGATGCCTCGATTATAACAAATGGCCAGAGGCTCGGAGAATTTCTTTAATCACCCGGAAACTGCAATTCCACAGCTGTGGTCACTCTGGGGTTGGGTGATTCTGTAAACATGCTTCTCTGTTATTTTTGTTTGTAATATCAAGTATGTTAGATGTATACGTGCGTCTCCACTACTTACCATATCAACTTCTAACTTGCTGAAATTAACATTTTTAACATGTTGAATGTTTTATAGCAGTGGCTGTCCGAGAGACGTCGAGTCGTAGGGGGGACTGTGTCTAGGAAGCGGCGTCTTCCGGACAGCCAAGTAGTTACTAACGCCGGCCGCGGAAGCTTAAGCTCTCGTTTTACAACAGGAATCAAACATTGTCACTCGTTTTATAACAGTAACCTAGCATTAAGTCAATCGTTTTACAGCAGGAACCAAACGTTAAGTCAATCGTTACACGGCAGGAACCAAACGTTAAGTCATCGTTTTAACAGCCGAACCAAACGTAAGTCAATCGTTTCTAACAGCAGAACCAAAACGTTAAGTCAATCGTTTTATAGCAGGAACAAACGTTAAGTCAATCGTTTTATAGCAGGAACCAAACGTTAAGTCAATCGTTTTATAGCAGGAACCAATCGTTAAGTCAATCTTTTATAGGCAGGAACCAAACGTTTATTCAATCGTTCGATTGAATGTTTTCGGGCTAAATTCCGGTCGAGATCGTAAGTTTGCATGGCCAGAGCTTTCCATTTCGAGATTTAAGTAAAATTGTGTGTTGAAGGGAAGAACTATGAACCTCTTGGAAGGAAAGATGTTGGAACCTTATCTGAAATGAACATTCACACAAGGCAACAATTGCGCTCGTACTGGGAAGTAATAGTTGATTTCTTCTGTTCTTAGAACAGGCGAATAGAACAGAGCACCAGCGATCGCAATATAGCTTCCACCTACAGAAAACAAAAAAAGTATAAGTTCACATGATTAAAAAGTTTTTTTGTCGATCTTGTCAACAAAAAGCATTGCCCACATGTTAAATAGTATGGACACAATATTTGTCATGTAACATTTAACATATACCTTTAGTATGTTGTGGTACTCATCATGAGTACATTTAACGTAGAATGTTAAATTTGAAGTAATGGAGATGCGATGTAAGATACTAGATCAGAAACATCTTGTAAAACTGAGCATGATGAAAGAAACATTTGACTTACGAGGTGTTAAGAGATTTTTTATTGTTGCTAAAACTTAATTTGTCAGTGCTGTGACAGTATTTTATTATAACATTGATTGCTTTATGATGTACAGTGAAACTTGCCAAGGGTAGGCGCTATTGATTCCGGTTAAAAATTGCCATCATGTAGCCAGTTAATGAAAGTTTTGAGGATGTGGGAAGCGGTCATCTGGTTCATTATTCTATTTGTAATGAAATTTATGTTTGCTTTTATTGTTATCATTGTTTAATTATATTTATCTCCCAATACTGCAAGCGTGCAACAAAGGACGTGTTAAACAACTCTTCTACAAAATCAGCAGATTACACATTTTTTGTTATATTCATATTTTCAACTGTTAGTTTCCTTCCATTTCTAGACTTGTATCCCAAGTACAGTGGAATACACAATATTGGACAAGACATGAAAATCGCCTTTTATCTGCAGAAGAATATTATTTTCCGCGAAGGAATTGCATGAACAGTAATCTTCCCATGCATTCTATTTCTTTTACAGTAAACCCTCGTCAACGTGAATTCCAAGGACCGAAATAATTAGTGTTGGTGTTATAAACATTCGTGATATCCGATTATTTATACTATGTTTTCTTGTCGGGACGTACATTTTGTTCATGTTTCGGGGAAGATGGTGGCACGTCCTAGTGGCTACTTGAAAGAGGGAACGTTTTACTTGTGTCTTGTGTAAAAATAATTTGTTTCTATGAAATATGACCGTTAAAAGTGACCGCTTAATTGAGGTGGCCAAACCAGCAGGTTTCACTGTACGTTTTCCTTTAAACTATGGCTGCTATTGGCTTCCGTGAGAACCAACATAGAGTTAGTGTGTAATTAGTTTTCTATTGTGGCATAATATGTTACTTGTTATTCCATTATGATGTGCCTGTGTATGTGTATGTAGTATGTGTTTATAATTACATATTTGTTTTATAAAATACATTGTATTGAAAATATATTGTTTTTTTAATAAAACATTGTTAAAACTTAAATCAGTGAATTTGTTTATTCACAAACTTTGCTCCTTTCGGAGGTTCAATTGGAATTCGCGCGCTTAATAATTGAGTCCACTAGCATACATTTTACATTCCCCAACTGTTTACCCAGCAGAAATTAAAATTTTTCACGTTACTCCCCGTCGCGCCTCCCTTTTTCTCGTCCACCTTTCACCATCCCTGTCACTTCGTAAAATTTCCCAAACTATATACATCGTGTCATATTCTTTAGTAATCTTGCCATCATCCAAAATGTACCACTATTTCGTTGTCTCATCACCCCGTCACACGGCCATCAAATCTATTTCCATTGTCAGCCCAGCTGTTTCTGCTCCTAACTTCATTTACTGTGCAATATCTAACTATCCTTATTGCTTATTCTGCTACTCTCAAGAAATATCCACGCCTATTTCATTTTATTTTTTATGTGCCTTGACTGAGTTTACCGACTTGCAGCATTATCGCTGTCTTGGCAGCGACCAGGAGATTATAGGGGGTTGAGTCCCAATTACCAACACGTAGCTGGATAGCTAGGTCGAATTCAGTCGATTTCCGGAGGAAAAAAATCTAGCGTCTCTGTGCTCAGATCGGTAGTTTTCCGTGGTTTCTCCGACCAATACTAGGCAATTGCCAAAGCAATATCTAAACAAATGGGCCCCTGACTCACCGACCTTTCGTTCCTCATCCGTGCCCTCTTCCCTTACACACACACACACACACACTACGGGACGCAGACTACACTGCCACACATGAGACCAGTGAGAAGCTGAAACGTTTCGGCTGAGGCAGTGCCTCGCTCAGGGAGATACCTGAATGAGGAATCCTGCAAGCGGGCGTGCAAGTCGAACTTTCGTTCCGAAGAAGCGGAACACACCTACTGTCTCTCGGGATTTAACATTTACAATACCATAAGGACTAATTACCATGGCTGTTGACGCTCGTGGAAACTGTCTTGATTATCCCATTTATCTTGAACTTCTTTCAAAATCCTCCTCGCCGTGAAGCTGTCTCTTTCATTCAACATTTTCTTTTACTTCAATCTATCTTATCTTTTGTTGCTATTACCCTAGTTGTATATCTTTGTTTATAAGAAATATTCCTGCCCCATCTAGAACTTCATTCCTTGCTTCATTCATTCATATTCCTTGCTTTGTCTCTTCAACTTCTCTTATGTCAGCCCTGATGATGTACCGATGTTCTTCCTTTCCAGTCACAAATACTACCTTAAAAACATCCTGACGTTCGTCTACCACCATTTATTTTGATTTCATATGTAGGCTAGTTTAAACTTTGGTTTAATGTTGGAGAAAACTAGCCATAAAAACATTGAACAGATATTAGTTATCTCAACGAAATATACACTATGTAATGAAGCAATAGACAATTCTGTAGTTAGTAATGTGTGGATAACGATTTGATTTTGCACGTTATTTTTGGTAAAATATCTTATTAGAATGTCTTGTGTGTGGACAACGACTAAATAGTGCAGAAGAATTCCATAAAAATGAATATTCTCCGATCCATCTGGCTGATGTTGTAATCCCTCAAATTTAAGTGGATCTTTTATTTTCTAGAGGTATTTTTGCAAAAAGCCCTTAAAACATTTTTTAAATGTTTACAAAAATGGCTTCAACTTCTTTATTCGGATGGAGGAAGTTCGCTTAAAAAAATTCCGTGAGTCTTATTTTGAGTATAACCTATTAAACATAAGGAAGTTCCAAAAGTTTAATTTAAACATCCTCCTACTACAACAGAATTGGATACAGATTTTTCTTAATCAAATGTTCTCTTTAAAATTAGATATTTTAATAATGATCTGTAATTACATCTTATTTGATCAGGTAATAAGAGTCTAGAAATAATATTAAGCAAAGCGCGTAATATTGCAAATGATTTGATTTCGAAGATATCTTTTCACAAAGGATAGTAAAAGAATTGTTCATATTGTTGAAATGCTTGTTAAAATTGTTTAAACCCCCAATTATTTCTGTTATATTATTAATACTGTCACAACTATTAATTTCATTAACCCCCCACATGCCATATAGTTTGCACTTATCCTCTGGCTATTTTAAGAAAACTAGAAAACTGAGCTGTGTCATATAAATAGTAAATTATGAAACGATTTAATGATGGGGTATTAATACACGAATATAAACAAGTTTCGTGGCAGTTGACGTGCAGCATTCAGCCAAGACCACCCAGCGGGCA